AAAAAAAGGTGGGGGGTGGAGAATAGAGACAGAAACAGAATCTCCCTCCTTGTCCCCATCAAACATGAAACAAGTGTGACCAAAGTAGAGGTAAGCTGCTTGAGTTCATGGCTATATCTTTTAGCAGACCCAACTATAAACTGTTGGGAAAGATATTAGACAAGACTTAGGATGAGGTCACATGTTATAGTTAGACCATATTAAGGGCACTTCAAATGTGAGTGTCTGGTGTCTGCACAGTAAAGCTTGTTAACAAGTGCTAAGCGCCCTCTAGGCATGTTATTAAGGTTATGCCACTTGGAATAAAGATTATCTTTGAACTCTGCTCCCTAGCTCCATTCACCTTAACTTCTGGCTGCTTCACTGGGATTAAAAAAACCAGTGTGGTGTTACGGCTTACCTTTGAACCATTCTAAAGACATCTAAAATGGGAGTGTCCCTGCATTAAAGGATGTTAAACAGCTAAGTATCTTAAGATGCCTCTAAGCATCTTAAAGTTACGCCACTTTCAGCAGGGGTTATCTTTTAGCTGTTCTACCTAGCTCAAGCTAGGGTATTGTGAGTCCACTCCATGGAGATAAAGCAACCAATTTGCAGTCATCCAGCAGCTTAGGATTCATGGCTTCCAGCCCCTCTATTCCTGACAAAATTTCCATACTCCCAAGCTCTATGCCCAGGGTGTGGTACTGACTCTAAGCCAACCCCACCATCCACCTCTAATGGGTATGACCCTGGCCCACATGGTACCATGCTGCTGGTTCCAAGAACCACAGGACACCCAATCCAGGCCCCGGGCCAGGGACTATATATGTGGCCCTCCTTTCAGAGGGCTGACCTCACATCTGGGTGTTTTCCCTTTAGCCAGGAAAGTTGGGGGGGGCAATCAGGGCAGGGACCTGTGGGGAGTCTAAGCAGCAGTGGGGGTGACCCATATGACTGAGCCATGCACCTGCTCCCCAGTCCTCTAGCAGCAGGTTAGCTGTGCACATTAGAGAGGGCATTAAGTCTGAGTGTGCAACTGCTCACAGCCTGTGCTGACTTCAACACAACCTAACACTGCTCAGAGTTAGCACGTGCTAATTGTAACCCTGAGTCTGGAACAAAACCTCTGAGATGCACCATGCCCCCTTCCAATCTAACTAAATAGAAAGCTGCTCAGATGCTTCATAGTTCAATGTTTTTAATTCTTCCTGAGCTCATGAAGGTTTTTACCAGCATTTTCCAAAATGGTAGGGTGGCACAAAATACCTATATATTAAAACATGCAGCCTTTTAATGTACCATGGCAGGACTGGTGATGTCTTCCTCAAGTGGAGCTCAGCTTTCAAAAGGTTAGGAAACTACTGTAGGATATGGAGGATCTTGTCAGCTTCATGAGATTACAATAAATCACTGCCTGTGCTATTTGTACTGGCGTACTTGAGATTTTCTCATGTCAGGTTTCAAGAAGGTCTCTGAGTAAGTAATCTGGTGCATATCTCAGGCAGTGCAGCTGTTAAAGGCACTTTTGAGAGGAGAGGCATTGACCAACATTCCTGCATTTAGAAGGGCTGTCATTCCTTAGCTGTACAAAGTCCAGTATTTGTCCAATCTTTCTTTGATGGATTCTGACCTCTATCCTACAGATCCTTATACAGATCCTTACTGAGCTCTTTTCTGAGCCTCTGAAGCAGAGCCATTTGTGTGTGCAGTCAATGAGGTTATTCTATTATACACCACTGCAAGAGATTCAATATATTGTAGCAAATTCCTAGACTAGAGATTAAAGCTACTCTCTGTTCCTGTAAAATTGTTTAATAATACAAAATGACCTGATTTTAAACCTGTTGTATAACTACTAACAATGAAAACCTTCATTTTTACAAAATACATCAGCTTGTCATAATCCAGTGGTTGTCAGCCACAGATACACATACCCCTAGGGGTACTTAAAAGGGTCGTAGGGGGTACACAGAAGTGATGTGGCCAATAATTGCTGCCTGCCTGCAAGCTGCCGCAGCGCAGCAAATGGGTGGCCAGGAGCGCAGCCCAGTCATGTGGAGAGCAACCAGGTCTAGCTGGTAAGTCTGTTGTGTGGGAAAGGGTGTGGGGGAAGGCATGAATGATGTGTGCCCCTGCAGCTGGGGGGACATGGCAGCAGCGGGAGTGTGGTGGTGGGAGCATGG